GGTTCTATTTCATGTCCCAAAATTATATACGTTTCACCTGGTGTTATTGTAATTCAGATATTTGCGTGCTAAAGAAAAAAATTTACGGGAAAAAAAAAAATCAAGACCAAGTCAACAGAAAACCGTGGGAAAATTGGGATAATAAATGTGGTAAGATGTCAAATTTATGGTGTTGTAAAAATGCACCCTATTTTGGCAATTAGTGGCATGTAGGTGTTGACTTTTTTTGAAGTGTTGGCGATAAAAAATATTTCTTATCCTCATCTTTGTCATATTGATGGAATCAGTACGTGTTGAAAAAATTCAAGGTAAGGACAAAGAAGGGCAAAGATGAAAATTCCACCATTTTGAATTTGAATTGGAGAATAAAATATCCCCCCCCCCCCCCCTCTCTCTATGCGATAGAAAAAATTCATTTTGACAATTAATGGCTACCGAACGAGGGCTTAGTGACACAAAAACTGTGGAAACTACCTCGAAATGAAATGGGGAGAGAGACTCAAAAGTCCACAAGGCTTCGGGACAAGCTCCCACTCCAACTGCTGTAAGCTGTGACAGGAAGAGCACAGTTGCCACTTTACTCGAGCGAAGCACAGACAAAAGCCATAAACTTCATAGATTGCACAGTTATGAGAGAAATTGAGCTCCCCTATTGAACAAAGTGAACATAACGAAGGTAACATAGTTACTGTAGAAAAGTGAACAAAGTGAAATACAGAGGAATGTAATGGAAAGAGTTTCCATTGTGACTTGAACAGAGTGAAGCAACGAAATGCGGGCACATACACGTGGCAGGGAAGGAGACAGGGAGGGCTTTTCACACTCACACCCGCCCTGTTGCCATCCTTGAGAATCATCTAAAACATGCATATTCTCATAAGATATTGATATAATACTAAAAAAATAAAAAACATAATCAGCCATCGAAAATCAAGATTCTCAAATATAGCGAATAAAGATGCTCAGAAACCGTCTCAGTCAAGAAAAACTAGACGCCACAATTTCTCTAGTCCTTATCAGATTTGGTTGACGCCTCATCCTGCCAAGTTGCTTGCCACTGCTTATCATAAAATGTCGTCTCCTCCAGCAATTTCTTAAGGGTTTCAATATCCTCGTTCTTTCTTATCAGAAGAACACCCACTACAGCTATGAATAACAGTGTTTTACAGAAGAAGTTGCCCATTTGATCAACAAGACCTACCCCGGTCAAACTGTCTACGAGGTATGCCATGAAGAAGCCGATCATTGCAGCCCGACCTGCATAAAAGTTTAATGTCATTAGTCCAAAACATTCTTGATACCCAATGTATTTCTAAAAATTGAGTACATGTTTGGTATGCAGTACTATACAACTTGATGGAATAATGAATAAGACTTTTGAAGTTTTTTATTTTGTTTAATATTTTCTAGCCCTATCTAGTTCCATGCACCAAATATGCCATCAAGAAAGGGACTGAAGATATGTGCTAACCATTGAGCAATTCAGCTTCTGGAAGATGGAACCTTTTAATCCATGCCCACCATGGAATAATAGCAGTGTCAAAAGCAATAGGGTCTTCATTACTTGATGATTGAGGATTATCTTCCATCCATTTTCTCCTTTTCACTTCTGCAAAGAATTAACCACATAATCCGTTGAAAATCAAGTGACCTCTAGAGTATTACGAATATTTGGAGAGAGTTTAACAAATATCTAAACAAATCTATACAAAAATTAAAAAAATAATAATAATAATAAATAAATAAATAAATAATTGCAGAAGAAACACATAAATTTAGTTTTAAAATGAGGTCATTCAGGTCAAAACAGCTTTAAACCGTCACCGTGAGCTTTAAAATGTTCGAGAGGTCAATCCAGTGATAGATACACAGACAAGAACTCTTAGAGCAGGAATAATACCAAATCATGCAATAATGTTTAAACCTCAATGCACTTCCATGCAACCAAAAACATCCTTTTTCAATCCAGTTCGAGTCAAATTTTACAAACTCCCAACCATATGGAAGAAAGCAGCTACAATGAATTCGTTATAACCTGACACTAGTATGAGCTAGCACATGTAACGACACAATTAAGAGAACTGACATCTACAAAGACAATTAATAAACAAAAAAGAACTTAATTAGCTTGGACAAGCTGACAAGGAAAATAATGCATAAAAGTTCATCACAGAACTTAGCATTTGAAGCCCAATGTTATATGAGGCAAAAGATAAATTGAACGACAACATTTCCAATACATCAACAAAAATATTGTCTTCTCTCAAGCTTCTCTAAAGCTTCGTAACTTTTGCCATATCCGTAGTTCTATCCTAAATGATAGGGCATAAAAGGCGGTTGAGGGGGCATGCTGAGTCCTCATCACATGAGGAATAAGCTTCAAGGGACGAAACCCTTTTTCCATTGCCACGAGGCATTTTAGCAATGCCTTCGACTAGTGTTTAACCCCCTCCACCATCAGACACATATTTCTCTACCATTTCCCAGCTTTCCAGGGAAGCCAAAATGTTCCAATAGTGAACATAAAGTTCACATATTTGACCAGTTTATTCCTATTTAGTCACCACACCCACACCTCAGGCAGTTAAACTTAAGTTTCTTGAAGCACAAGAGGCGCAGAAGCATTGGTTAATGGATCAAGAAAAAGTATAAGTCGTATATCGAATAAATTTGGGTCAATCATGATAATCTATTTGTCATGCTGTATAATTTCTTACTACATTTACTAAAAGATCCAAAGTAAGCAGATCATTAAGAATTATCAACCACACGACACTAATTTATGTTTACCCTAACCTGTTCTACTAAGCATAGCAGCATATATAGAGAGAAGGGAGAGAAAAGTCACCAGCATCAATAACAGCGTCCCAATCGGTCTTCCCATCTTTCGCGAACTGCGTCAAGTCCCAAGTCCCTCCAACCCATTTGGGATCCTGAAATTTATTCGAACTCACTCCAACCTCCTCGGTAGGCGGCTCCGGAGCCTCGGCAACGGCCAGCGGCGGAGACCCGTTAGAACCTAGATTCTCCCCAGCACTCACAGGACTTTCAGAAGGTTTCTCATCTACTGTAACGGTAGAAACTACTCCAGACCCCTCATCAGCACTTGCAAAAATGGGTACCAAGTACTGAAGCTTTTTCGAGGGTCTTAGAGAAAAATCGGGCTTGTAGACTAACTGCGTCTTCTTCACATGAGGTGAGAGAGTTGTGAGATGAGTTGAAGGAGTCGATGTAAACATGATAATTGACATTATTGGAATCGATTTGCTGTGTTATGAAAAGGGAAGGGAAAGCGAGAGGCTTAGTTCAGAACTCAGTGATCTTTTGCGCTATCCTCATCCGAATATTTCGAGGGGGTACTTTTGGTAGCTGCCTTTGTAATTAATATCGTACTCCCTAAGCTTTTGTGAATTTCTTAAAAAAATAAAAATAAATAAAAAATGGGGTTGAACCCCAACCTTGAAAAGTCCCATCGCCCCGCTCATTTTTTTTTTTTTGGCGAATTTCTGCGTGGACCTCATGGTGTTTGAGAACGTATAGAAAACCCCCAATAGTCCGAAGGCAAACTAAATCTAAAAAAGCACCTCCCTCCTGATCATATTATTGTTGTCACGTTGTGTGTAATTTTTTGAAATTTTAACTAACTAATGCATCCCCACCTCCGTCATTACCTTTTATCAAAAATACAATAAACTGACGTGTGAAAAAAAACCACTACAAATCATCATTTTGAAAATTTCTGATGTATAATTGATCTTGTGACCACTACAATCATCTCACCACCATCACAATCATCACCACCATCCCCTCCACCATATCCAACCCCAAAAATCACCACAAATCCAAAATTCAACAACTACCAACTCCTCCACCCCTACTTACCCACAAAACAACACCAAGTCCGTATATAAATCTCATATCTGCAATTCGAACTCTAGCTTAACTATGGCATCGCTCCAATCTAATTCGCGTCACTATATTGGAATGTAAACAAGTAGAGTTTAGCTTGGAGGAAAACTTTAAGCTCGGCTCGAGGCCTTATTGAGCCCAACCAACTCATTTTTTTTAAGGTATCACAACTGCTATATAGCTACCTGTTAAAAAGGCAACTGCTATTTAATGGCAATCGACATAAAGAGGCAATAGTTATTGCCTATTTCAACAAACACGGGCAAAAAATGGTTCGTGCTTGTTTGGCTCATCACGAGCCATTACGGGCCAAGCTACACAGGTCAGCTTGGGTTTGAGTTACCTATTAAAATAAGGCTCCACTCGAGCCTGGGCTTCCTTCCTTTGAGCCACAAGCAATCCGGGCAAACAACCCAAATTAACATTCCTACCACCATCTGTAGCCTCAACTATGGTAGATTCGTGCTCATCAATGCTTCTTTCATTGAGCCCACCCTGATCATGGCAGTTCAACCCACATCATGGTAGTTGATGCCTACATGTATAGTTCTTAATACACAACTACTTTTCTCCTACTCCACCTTCTCAACAAAGTGTTAATGCCTCCATATATAGTTCTAGACATACCCGATTTTTTAAATTACGCTCTTATTTGACCCTCCATTTTCTAAAACCCATTTTTTTCTCAAACTCATTTTCTATCATATTTCACGGGATGCACAACTTTTCAAACCAGTTTTGTCATATCAAACAGAACTTATATGTTGTTTGCCTCCTCTTAATAATTTGACTTAGTCAAAATGTTCTACTTTGTTCATATTAGAATTGGCGATGTAGTATATCAAACTTGAATTATATCAACTAATTTCTCATGTATTCATGTGAAGCAAATGATGCTCTACAAAGAGAGTCATCGGCCCCGTGTAGACCACGAGTCTAGAAACCTAGGTCCGATGTGCTCGCAAGCGCGGCCTAGAACTCTTTGCTCAAAAAATAATTCACGGGATTGTTTGAAAGAAATTATTTATTGGGATTGATCAGAGAATAATCACTTCTTCCAAAAAGGAAGCAATGCAACAAATGGCCCCAACTTGTTCTGCAACTGTTGCATAATGCTTCAACTTCAACTTCAAAAAGGTAATAACATACATTTGCATTGTTATATTTACAAAACTCGAATAAACGATGGTACAACAAAGACAAAAAGCAGAACCATGGAACGAAACCTATAATACATCATACAAAAAGTATCAGTTAAAACTCAATTCAGATATCTTCTTATTGGCATATAACTAGTTACAAGTTTACGACACACTAATCTTCATTCTTTGAATCCTTAGAGGTACAGGGTTTTCTAAAACTGACACATTAATGTTGTTCCAAACATCTGATTTTTTTGGAAGCTGAGCAATTTTCTCTGCTATCATCAAGTCTTCGGGAAGTACAGAACCAAATACGGTGTATGAATTTTTCCATTCTTCGTGATTTGCCAAGCTTATGAAGAATTCAGGACCAGAGCCAACCCATGCTACTGATCCTCTTCTTATGGTAGGGCAGTACTCTGACGGGATTTTATTGAATGTCATTCCTTGGGCATCAAGTGTTCCTTGAACAAGAGCAAATGGAGGACCAAAGGAAGCCTGAAAAGACAAAAGAAGATGAAATCAAGATGATTTTCCAGCAAATGGAATAATCAGATGATTTTCCAAACAAATTAAAGCAGCGGAAAATAATAACTTATCATCAGTCACTAAAAAAATCAGTCCAACGCATTGAAACATAAAACAAAAACACAAACAGAAATAAAGAGTTAAGTAATAAGGTTAGCAAATCTTGACCATAAACATTTATAGGAGGATAAATAAAAGTAATAAGGAGAAAGAGATTAAAATGAATGATATCTAGTTTCTCTACCGCTTTAAATTCCTCTAAAACTGATCTAATACTACAGATTTCATGGAATTTTGTAGGCATGCACATAGGAATATGTGCTAAGCTTAAAATAATTGCTTATAGGTAAACAGTTAAGTTCAATAAAAATAACTCTTTTGTTGGTCAAAGTAGGAAATAAGCAAGTACTTATTTTGAAAATAACCCTTTCCTTGATGTCAAAATAAGTGACTATTTTTTACTTCAATTAAGAAAAGTAGCATATCCAAACATGTTTAGAATTAAAATCCACTTAAAAGTAAGTTTGAATTAATTTTAAGCTTAGCCAAACATCCTCTTCACAAATGTGTGAAAGAAGAACTAAATGACACTAGTTTGAAAAATATCTTTTATTTTGGATTGTGTGCGAGTATAAAATTGGTTAAACAATTATGCCGCTTTTCCAACAAAATATGGCATGTCTTTGCCAAATTTATGGGAAATACTGGAAATGGCCTTACCAGTATTGCTGTGGGAAATCAAACGCATAAAATTCAGTCTTTTTCAACATGTAAATCAAGGGTAGAAAGGGATTCACAATTAAGAGGGAAAATAGACATTGTGCAATGTTGGGGATGAAATCAGGTGTGGGTCAGTTTGTTTAATATTTTATTGAGATTTTGAAGTTTCAAAGTTGCAAAATTGCTAATGATCAGCCTTTTAAGCACCATCAAACGGGGGGGATAATAATCAGGCAAGTGAAATGAATCAAAATGATGACTCTGAATGAACAGAACAGACTCCTAAGTTCCTCTTAGTAGTCAAGACTACATATGCAAATACAATGATCAGGGATGCACAAGACCAAGAAACAATGTTTAGTTCTTACATCTTCGATGTGTTTTCCTTTTGCATCCCAAGATTGACCACGACTTTCTGCTCGATAGAAATGGCAACCTGCACAATGGCGTACTGCCAACAACTCTAGGATGTATTTGACTGAAAGTGGAGAACAATCAGGGAAAAGCTGCACAAAATTATAAAGTTCATCAGTGAAATATTTTTTTAATAAATACAGAAGTATATTAAATAACATCCAAGAAACTCTGCCCATTCTCTCTCTCTACTTCACTTATAGCATGTTTGCTACAGTGAATTGAATAGTACTTGATAACATTAAAGAGGTAAAAAAAAGCTAAAATTTTACCAATTATATCGCTTAGTCATGTCCAGCATTGCATACCAAATATACTCTTGCGGTACAAAACTTCACTATCTTCCTCTAAATTTCAAGTCTCTTCTTTCCTCACTCAACTCTTCCATTTTCTTCAGTGGTTTTTTATTCAATACACTTTTGCTTCTCATGACAGAGATATAAAGTAAAATAGATTCGTAGTTAGAAATTGTGACCTTTTCAGGAGTATTTTGTAAAAGATTTCTCATTTCGTAAAGACTTCTTTTAGTAAGTTCTGGAAACTAAATTTACCGGTGGATCAAAAACACGTAGAATGTTTTGGATAATATAATACGAAAATAGTTTCTAGTACTGTTTCTAGTGCCATTTTATTTTAAAGAGAGTTGGAAGCATGAGTAGGATGCACTTTTTTTTAGTTCATATATGAACATATATATTGTTGGTATGTTGGACAACTGAAAATTGTCTCTGAAAATACGACCAATAAGTAATAACTAAACCTTTTACTGATCAAGACAAATGTAACGTGTTGACATGCTTTCCTGACTCAGAGTGTCAATCTTTTTCAGCACACCCTCAAGGAGGTTCCTTGCATAATTATATAATCTAATTGACTAATTAAAAGCTAGGAATTAATTTTATGACAGACTTTGACCACTCTTTTTTTGAAAGGTAATCCAATATTTTATTAATTAAGGAATAATACATAGGAAGTGTATTTACTTTAAGTCAGAAAGAAACAACACGAAATTGGGCATCCCGTCTATATGCCTAGTAGCCGTAGCATTAAACCAAGTATACAATGTCAAAAATACACTTCCATAATCTGCTTTGTTGTCCGTGTTTGATAATCAATACAGAGGTTGTATATTTCTCTCTACACACTCCATACAATACAACGTAGAATAAGGTCCCACACAAGCTTGCTATCCTTATCATGGAACTTTCTCTTACATGCCTTTAGCACGTCTTCCATACACCTCGGTAACATCCAATCCATGTGTTGAAATGCCAGAACGTCGTTCCACAGCAAACGACCAGCATCAAAATAAAGGAATAAGTGGTCAATTGTCTCCCTCATCCCTCCTACACACATAGAACCACTCTATAACATAAAAACCCTAGCTCGAAGGTTATCCACCATTAACCCCTGTTCCCTAACAACCGTCCAAAGTAAAAATGCCACATTTGGAGGTAATTTACATAATGAACTCTCCACGGGTCTCAATAAGGATCTAAAATAAGTGTTGATCGAAAAGATACCATCTCGTGTCAACCTCCACCTGATACAATCACCGTCTCCTACCCTGAAGTGCACCTTATACAAAGATGTCAGAAGCAACGCATAATCATCCACTTCTCAGTCCTACAAACCCCACCGAAAAACAATGTTCCAATTGAGACTTTCAATATGTATATCTAAATCTCATTCACCGTAGTAGATAGCTCCAAAGTAATAGGATACAAAGAGGGAAATCCTGTCCTAAGCGGTTGCTCTCCGAACTAACAATCATCCCAAAAATTAATAGTATTACAATTCCCAAGACAATCTATCCTAAAAAAGATCCACCTTCGACGGATATACCGCCACAAACTCACCCCATAAGAGCCACGGCCGTCGACTGAGCACCAACCCTTGCCCATCATATTTTGCCCCTATAATTTCTTTCCAAAAACCCTCCTTCTCCATTCCGAGTCGTCACAAACACTTACCCAACAAGGCCTTATTAAACAATACAAGGCTCCTCAATCCGAAAATCCACACCTTGGAGAACAAACTGCATCCCAGTTAACCAAATATAATTTCTTCTCCTTCCCTACTCCTCCCCACAGAAACTCCATTTGAATCCTCTTCAATCTTTTTGCCACTGCAGCAAAAATAGGAAACAATGATAAAAAATAAGTAGGAAGATTCGATAAAGTAGACTTAATGAGAGTAAGACGACCATCCTTTGAGAGGTACATACGCTTCCACTCCACTAGCCTTTTCTCCACCCTTTCCATAATATTGTTCCAAAAATGTATACTTTTAAACCGTGCTTCTAAAGGAAGCTCAAGATATGACATAAGCAGCCTTACAACCCAATAAAGCAGTCAACTCCTCCACGTTCTCGACCTTTCTCACTGTGATAGCTTCAGATTTCCCAAGATTTATCTTCAGTCCAAATATAGCTTCAAAACACAGAAGCAAACGACACAGGTTCCTGAATTGCTCAACATCTGCATCACAAAAGATTAGTGTATCATATGCAATAATGCAAACAACAAATGAGATACCTGCAGCTAATCAATCATAAACCCCTTGTAATGGAGACAAAGGATTCACTTGCCTTAATCCTCTACTACTCCGAAAATAACTCTCAAGAGTGTCTTTCACCATAACTGAGAAAGAAACAGTAGAGATACAAAACAAAAATCTACTGGCACCACTTATCTCAGAAGCCACATTGTCTGAGCATATACAAAAGAAATTCCCAATTTAAGTGATCATAAGCCTTTTGAATGTCAAGCTTAAATAACATCTCTGGAACCCCTAGACGCATTCTTAAGTCGATGCATTCATTCGCCATAAGTATGGAATCCATAATTTGGCACCCATTGACAAAAGCAATTTGAAACTTAGACACCACTTTCTCTAGCACCTCCTTTAATCAATTCGCCAGAATCTTCGCAATAATCTTGTCTATCCCACTCAATAAACTGATAGGACGAAAGTCTTTAATATCCGTTGCTCCCGATTTCTTAGGAATCAACACAATAAATGTAGCATTGGAGTTTCTCAAGAACCTGCCACACTGGAAAAACCAAGTAAGGACAACCATAATATCCGATCGCACCACTTCTCAACAAACCTTATAGAATGAGAAAGAAATATTGTCCGATCTTGGATCCTTGTCGTCATTCATTCTGAACACCACCTCCTTAATTTCATCCTCCTCAAATGGTCTCTCTAACCAATCGGCATTCTCCTCATTAATAGTAGAAAAAGTCTAGCCTTCCAATTCCAGCCTCGAGTCAAACTGCTCCTGATAAAGAGTTTGAGAGAAACTCACTAGTTAGGTCCCGATATCATGCGGTTCCTCATAAGTAACCCCATCTACCTCCAACATAGTGATAGAATTGTTTCGTCAGTTTGAATTAGCAAGAATTGGGAAAAAAAAAATCCCCCCCCCCCCCCCTCTCTCTATGCGATAGAAAAAATTCATTTTGACAATTAATGGCTACCGAACGAGGGCTTAGTGACACAAAAACTGTGGAAACTACCTCGAAATGAAATGGGGAGAGAGACTCAAAAGTCCACAAGGCTTCGGGACAAGCTCCCACTCCAACTGCTGTAAGCTGTGACAGGAAGAGCACAGTTGCCACTTTACTCGAGCGAAGCACAGACAAAAGCCATAAACTTCATAGATTGCACAGTTATGAGAGAAATTGAGCTCCCCTATTGAACAAAGTGAACATAACGAAGGTAACATAGTTACTGTAGAAAAGTGAACAAAGTGAAATACAGAGGAATGTAATGGAAAGAGTTTCCATTGTGACTTGAACAGAGTGAAGCAACGAAATGCGGGCACATACACGTGGCAGGGAAGGAGACAGGGAGGGCTTTTCACACTCACACCCGCCCTGTTGCCATCCTTGAGAATCATCTAAAACATGCATATTCTCATAAGATATTGATATAATACTAAAAAAATAAAAAACATAATCAGCCATCGAAAATCAAGATTCTCAAATATAGCGAATAAAGATGCTCAGAAACCGTCTCAGTCAAGAAAAACTAGACGCCACAATTTCTCTAGTCCTTATCAGATTTGGTTGACGCCTCATCCTGCCAAGTTGCTTGCCACTGCTTATCATAAAATGTCGTCTCCTCCAGCAATTTCTTAAGGGTTTCAATATCCTCGTTCTTTCTTATCAGAAGAACACCCACTACAGCTATGAATAACAGTGTTTTACAGAAGAAGTTGCCCATTTGATCAACAAGACCTACCCCGGTCAAACTGTCTACGAGGTATGCCATGAAGAAGCCGATCATTGCAGCCCGACCTGCATAAAAGTTTAATGTCATTAGTCCAAAACATTCTTGATACCCAATGTATTTCTAAAAATTGAGTACATGTTTGGTATGCAGTACTATACAACTTGATGGAATAATGAATAAGACTTTTGAAGTTTTTTATTTTGTTTAATATTTTCTAGCCCTATCTAGTTCCATGCACCAAATATGCCATCAAGAAAGGGACTGAAGATATGTGCTAACCATTGAGCAATTCAGCTTCTGGAAGATGGAACCTTTTAATCCATGCCCACCATGGAATAATAGCAGTGTCAAAAGCAATAGGGTCTTCATTACTTGATGATTGAGGATTATCTTCCATCCATTTTCTCCTTTTCACTTCTGCAAAGAATTAACCACATAATCCGTTGAAAATCAAGTGACCTCTAGAGTATTACGAATATTTGGAGAGAGTTTAACAAATATCTAAACAAATCTATACAAAAATTAAAAAAATAATAATAATAATAAATAAATAAATAAATAATTGCAGAAGAAACACATAAATTTAGTTTTAAAATGAGGTCATTCAGGTCAAAACAGCTTTAAACCGTCACCGTGAGCTTTAAAATGTTCGAGAGGTCAATCCAGTGATAGATACACAGACAAGAACTCTTAGAGCAGGAATAATACCAAATCATGCAATAATGTTTAAACCTCAATGCACTTCCATGCAACCAAAAACATCCTTTTTCAATCCAGTTCGAGTCAAATTTTACAAACTCCCAACCATATGGAAGAAAGCAGCTACAATGAATTCGTTATAACCTGACACTAGTATGAGCTAGCACATGTAACGACACAATTAAGAGAACTGACATCTACAAAGACAATTAATAAACAAAAAAGAACTTAATTAGCTTGGACAAGCTGACAAGGAAAATAATGCATAAAAGTTCATCACAGAACTTAGCATTTGAAGCCCAATGTTATATGAGGCAAAAGATAAATTGAACGACAACATTTCCAATACATCAACAAAAATATTGTCTTCTCTCAAGCTTCTCTAAAGCTTCGTAACTTTTGCCATATCCGTAGTTCTATCCTAAATGATAGGGCATAAAAGGCGGTTGAGGGGGCATGCTGAGTCCTCATCACATGAGGAATAAGCTTCAAGGGACGAAACCCTTTTTCCATTGCCACGAGGCATTTTAGCAATGCCTTCGACTAGTGTTTAACCCCCTCCACCATCAGACACATATTTCTCTACCATTTCCCAGCTTTCCAGGGAAGCCAAAATGTTCCAATAGTGAACATAAAGTTCACATATTTGACCAGTTTATTCCTATTTAGTCACCACACCCACACCTCAGGCAGTTAAACTTAAGTTTCTTGAAGCACAAGAGGCGCAGAAGCATTGGTTAATGGATCAAGAAAAAGTATAAGTCGTATATCGAATAAATTTGGGTCAATCATGATAATCTATTTGTCATGCTGTATAATTTCTTACTACATTTACTAAAAGATCCAAAGTAAGCAGATCATTAAGAATTATCAACCACACGACACCAATTTATGTTTACCCTAACCTGTTCTACTAAGCATAGCAGCATATATAGAGAGAAGGGAGAGAAAAGTCACCAGCATCAATAACAGCGTCCCAATCGGTCTTCCCATCTTTCGCGAACTGCGTCAAGTCCCAAGTCCCTCCAACCCATTTGGGATCCTGAAATTTATTCGAACTCACTCCAACCTCCTCGGTAGGCGGCTCCGGAGCCTCGGCAACGGCCAGCGGCGGAGACCCGTTAGAACCTAGATTCTCCCCAGCACTCACAGGACTTTCAGAAGGTTTCTCATCCTCTACTGTAACGGTAGAAACTACTCCAGACCCCTCATCAGCACTTGCAAAAATGGGTACCAAGTACTGAAGCTTTTTCGAGGGTCTCAGAGAAAAATCGGGCTTGTAGACTAACTGCGTCTTCTTCACATGAGGTGAGAGAGTTGTGAGATGAGTTGAAGGAGTCGATGTAAACATGATAATTGACATTATTGGAATCGATTTGCTGTGTTATGAAAAGGGAAGGGAAAGCGAGAGGCTTAGTTCAGAACTCAGTGATCTTTTGCGCTATCCTCATCCGAATATTTCGAGGGGGTACTTTTGGTAGCTGCCTTTGTAATTAATATCGTACTCCCTAAGCTTTTGTGAATTTCTTAAAAAAATAAAAATAAATAAAAAATGGGGTTGAACCCCAACCTTGAAAAGTCCCATCGCCCCGCTCATTTTTTTTTTTTTGGCGAATTTCTGCATGGACCTCATGGTGTTTGAGAACGTATAGAAAACCCCCAATAGTCCGAAGGCAAACTAAATCTAAAAAAGCACCTCCCTCCCGATCATATTATTGTTGTCACGTTGTGTGTAATTTTTTGAAATTTTAACTAACTAATGCATCCCCACCTCCGTCATTACCTTTTATCAAAAATACAATAAACTGACGTGTGAAAAAAAACCACTACAAATCATCATTTTGAAAATTTCTGATGTATAATTGATCTTGTGACCACTACAATCATCTCACCACCATCACAATCATCACCACCATCCCCTCCACCATATCCAACCCCAAAAATCACCACAAATCCAAAATTCAACAACTACCAACTCCTCCACCCCTACTTACCCACAAAACAACACCAAGTCCGTATATAAATCTCATATCTGCAATTCGAACTCTAGCTTAACTATGGCATCGCTCCAATCTAATTCGCGTCACTATATTGGAATGTAAACAAGTAGAGTTTAGCTTGGAGGAAAACTTTAAGCTCGGCTCGAGGCCTTATTGAGCCCAACCAACTCATTTTTTTTAAGGTATCACAACTGCTATATAGCTACCTGTTAAAAAGGCAACTGCTATTTAATGGCAATCGACATAAAGAGGCAATAGTTATTGCCTATTTCAACAAACACGGGCAAAAAATGGTTCGTGCTTGTTTGGCTCATCACGAGCCATTACGGGCCAAGCTACACAGGTCAGCTTGGGTTTGAGTTACCTATTAAAATAAGGCTCCACTCGAGCCTGGGCTTCCTTCCTTTGAGCCACAAGCAATCCGGGCAAACAACCCAAATTAACATTCCTACCACCATCTGTAGCCTCAACTATGGTAGATTCGTGCTCATCAATGCTTCTTTCATTGAGCCCACCCTGATCATGGCAGTTCAACCCACATCATGGTAGTTGATGCCTACATGTATAGTTCTTAATACACAACTACTTTTCTCCTACTCCACCTTCTCAACAAAGTGTTAATGCCTCCATATATAGTTCTAGACATACCCGATTTTTTAAATTACGCTCTTATTTGACCCTCCATTTTCTAAAACCCATTTTTTTCTCAAACTCATTTTCTATCATATTTCACGGGATGCACAACTTTTCAAACCAGTTTTGTCATATCAAACAGAACTTATATGTTGTTTGCCTCCTCTTAATAATTTGACTTAGTCAAAATGTTCTACTTTGTTCATATTAGAATTGGCGATGTAGTATATCAAACTTGAATTATATCAACTAATTTCTCATGTATTCATGTGAAGCAAATGATGCTCTACAAAGAGAGTCATCGGCCCCGTGTAGACCACGAGTCTAGAAACCTAGGTCCGATGTGCTCGCAAGCGCGGCCTAGAACTCTTTGCTCAAAAAATAATTCACGGGATTGTTTGAAAGAAATTATTTATTGGGATTGATCAGAGAATAATCACTTCTTCCAAAAAGGAAGCAATGCAACAAATGGCCCCAACTTGTTCTGCAACTGTTGCATAATGCTTCAACTTCAACTTCAAAAAGGTAATAACATACATTTGCATTGTTATATTTACAAAACTCGAATAAACGATGGTACAACAAAGACAAAAAGCAGAACCATGGAACGAAACCTATAATACATCATACAAAAAGTATCAGTTAAACTCAATTCAGATATCTTCTTATTGGCATATAACTAGTTACAAGTTTACGACACACTAATCTTCATTCTTTGAATCCTTAGAGGTACAGGGTTTTCTAAAACTGACACATTAATGTTGTTCCAAACATCCGATTTTTTTGGAAGCTGAGCAATTTTCTCTGCTATCATCAAGTCTTCGGGAAGTACAGAACCAAATACGGTGTATGAATTTTTCCATTCTTCGTGATTTGCCAAGCTTATGAAGAATTCAGGACCAGAGCCAACCCATGCTACTGATCCTCTTCTTATGGTAGGGCAGTACTCTGACGGGATTTTATTGAATGTCATTCCTTGGGCATCAAGTGTTCCTTGAACAAGAGCAAATGGAGGACCAAAGGAAGCCTGAAAAGACAAAAGAAGATGAAATCAAGATGATTTTCCAGCAAATGGAATAATCAGATGATTTTCCAAACAAATTAAAGCAGCGGAAAATAATAACTTATCATCAGTCACTAAAAAAATCAGTCCAACGCATTGAAACATAAAACAAAAACACAAACAGAAATAAAGAGTTAAGTAATAAGGTTAGCAAATCTTGACCATAAACATTTATAGGAGGATAAATAAAAGTAATAAGGAGAAAGAGATTAAAATGAATGATATCTAGTTTCTCTACCGCTTTAAATTCCTCTAAAACTGATCTAATACTACAGATTTCATGGAATTTTGTAGGCATGCACATAGGAATATGTGCTAAGCTTAAAATAATTGCTTATAGGTAAACAGTTAAGTTCAATAAAAATAACTCTTTTGTTGGTCAAAGTAGGAAATAAGCAAGTACTTATTTTGAAAATAACCCTTTCCTTGATGTCAAAATAAGTGACTATTTTTTACTTCAATTAAGAAAAGTAGCATATCCAAACATGTTTAGAATTAAAATCCACTTAAAAGTAAGTTTGAATTAATTTTAAGCTTAGCCAAACATCCTCTTCACAAATGTGTGAAAGAAGAACTAAATGACACTAGTTTGAAAAATATCTTTTATTTTGGATTGTGTGCGAGTATAAAATTGGTTAAACAATTATGCCGCTTTTCCAACAAAATATGGCATGTCTTTGCCAAATTTATGGGAAATACTGGAAATGGCCTTACCAGTATTGCTGTGGGAAATCAAACGCATAAAATTCAGTCTTTTTCAACATGTAAATCAAGGGTAGAAAGGGATTCACAATTAAGAGGGAAAATAGACATTGTGCAATGTTGGGGATGAAATCAGGTGTGGGTCAGTTTGTTTAATATTTTATTGAGATTTTGAAGTTTCAAAGTTGCAAAATTGCTAATGATCAGCCTTTTAAGCACCATCAAACGGGGGGGATAATAATCAGGCAAGTGAAATGAATCAAAATGATGACTCTGAATGAACAGAACAGACTCCTAAGTTCCTCTTAGTAGTCAAGACTACATATGCAAATACAATGATCAGGGATGCACAAGACCAAGAAACAATGTTTAGTTCTTACATCTTCGATGTGTTTTCCTTTTGCATCCCAAGATTGACCACGACTTTCTGCTCGATAGAAATGGCAACCTGCACAATGGCGTACTGCCAACAACTCTAGGATGTATTTGACTGAAAGTGGAGAACAATCAGGGAAAAGCTGCACAAAATTATAAAGTTCATCAGTGAAATATTTTTTTAATAAATACAGAAGTATATTAAATAACATCCAAGAAACTCTGCCCATTCTCTCTCTCTACTTCACTTATAGCATGTTTGCTACAGTGAATTGAATAGTACTTGATAACATTAAAGAGGTAAAAAAAAGCTAAAATTTTACCAATTATATCGCTTAGTCATGTCCAGCATTGCATACCAAATATACTCTTGCGGTACAAAACTTCACTATCTTCCTCTAAATTTCAAGTCTCTTCTTTCCTCACTCAACTCTTCCATTTTCTTCAGTGGTTTTTTATTCAATACACTTTTGCTTCTCATGACAGAGATATAAAGTAAAATAGATTCGTAGTTAGAAATTGTGACCTTTTCAGGAGTATTTTGTAAAAGATTTCTCATTTCGTAAAGACTTCTTTTAGTAAGTTCTGGAAACTAAATTTACCGGTGGATCAAAAACACGTAGAATGTTTTGGATAATATAATACGAAAATAGTTTCTAGTACTGTTTCTAGTGCCATTTTATTTTAAAGAGAGTTGGAAGCATGAGTAGGATGCACTTTTTTTTAGTTCATATATGAACATATATATTTTTGGTATGTTGGACAACTGAAAATTGTCTCTGAAAATACGACCAATAAGTAATAACTAAACCTTTTACTGATCAAGACAAATGTAACGTGTTGACATGCTTTCCTGACTCAGAGTGTCAATCTTTTTCAGCACACCCTCAAGGAGGTTCCTTGCATAATTATATAATCTAATTGACTAATTAAAAGCTAGGAATTAATTTTATGACAGACTTTGACCACTCTTTTTTTGAAAGGTAATCCAATATTTTATTAATTAAGGAATAATACATAGGAAGTGTATTTACTTTAAGTCAGAAAGAAACAACACGAAATTGGGCATCCCGTCTATATGCCTAGTAGCCGTAGCATTAAACCAAGTATACAATGTCAAAAATACACTTCCATAATCTGCTTTGTTGTCCGTGTTTGATAATCAATACAGAGGTTGTATATTTCTCTCTACACACTCCATACAATACAACGTAGAATAAGGTCCCACACAAGCTTGCTATCCTTATCATGGAACTTTCTCTTATATGCCTTTAGCACGTCTTCCATACACCTCGGTAACATCCAATCCATGTGTTGAAATGCCAGAACGTCGTTCCACAGCAAACGACCAGCATCAAAATAAAGGAATAAGTGGTCAATTGTCTCCCTCATCCCTCCTACACACATAGAACCACTCTATAACATAAAAACCCTAGCTCGAAGGTTATCCACCATTAACCCCTGTTCCCTAACAACCGTCCAAAGTAAAAATGCCACATTTGGAGGTAATTTACATAATGAACTCTCCACGGGTCTCAATAAGGATCTAAAATAAGTGTTGATCGAAAAGATACCATCTCGTGTCAACCTCCACCTGATACAATCACCGTCTCCTACCCTGAAGTGCACCTTATACAAAGATGTCAGAAGCAACGCATAATCATCCACTTCTCAGTCCTACAAACCCCACCGAAAAACAATGTTCCAATTGAGACTTTCAATATGTATATCTAAATCTCATTCACCGTAGTAGATAGCTCCAAAGTAATAGGATACAAAGAGGAAATCCTGTCCTAAGCGGTTGCTCTCCGAACTAACAATCATCCCAAAAATTAATAGTATTACAATTCCCAAGACAATCTATCCTAAAAAAGATCCACCTTCGACGGATATACCGCCACAAACTCACCCCATAAGAGCCACGGCCGTCGACTGAGCACCAACCCTTGCCCATCATATTTTGCCCCTATAATTTCTTTCCAAAAACCCTCCTTCTCCATTTCGAGTCGTCACAAACACTTACCCAACAAGGCCTTATTAAACAATACAAGGCTCCTCAATCCGAAAATCCACACCTTGGAGAACAAACTGCATCCCAGTTAACCAAATATAATTTCTTCTCCTTCCCTACTCCTCCCCACAGAAACTCCATTTGAATCCTCTTCAATCTTTTTGCCACTGCAGCAAAAATAGGAAACAATGATAAAAAATAAGTAGGAAGATTCGATAAAGTAGACTTAATGAGAGTAAGACGACCATCCTTTGAGAGGTACATACGCTTCCACTCCACTAGCCTTTTCTCCACCCTTTCCATAATATTGTTCCAAAAATGTATACTTTTAAACCGTGCTTCTAAAGGAAGCTCAAGATATGACATAAGCAGCCTTACAACCCAATAAAGCAGTCAACTCCTCCACGTTCTCGACCTTTCCCACTGTGATAGCTTCAGATTTCCCAAGATTTATCTTCAGTCCAAATATAGCTTCAAAACACAGAAGCAAACGACACAGGTTCCTGAATTGCTCAACATCTGCATCACAAAAGATTAGTGTATCATATGCAATAATGCAAACAACAAATGAGATACCTGCAGCTAATCAATCATAAACCCCTTGTAATGGAGACAAAGGATTCACTTGCCTTAATCCTCTACTACTCCGAAAATAACTCTCAAAAGTGTCTTTCACCATAACTGAGAAAGAAACAGTAGAGATACAAAACAAAAATCTACTGGCACCACTTATCTCAGAAGCCACATTGTCTGAGCATATACAAAAGAAATTCCCAATTTAAGTGATCATAAGCCTTTTGAATGTCAAGCTTAAATAACATCTCTGGAACCCCTAGACGCATTCTTAAGTCGATGCATTCATTCGCCATAAGTATGGAATCCATAATTTGGCACCCATTGACAAAAGCAATTTGAAACTTAGACACCACTTTCTCTAGCACCTCCTTTAATCAATTCGCCAGAATCTTCGCAATAATCTTGTCTATCCCACTCAATAAACTGATAGGACGAAAGTCTTTAATATCCGTTGCTCCCGATTTCTTAGGAATCAACACAATAAATGTAGCATTGGAGTTTCTCAAGAACCTGCCACACTGGAAAAACCAAGTAAGGACAACCATAATATCCGATCGCACCACTTCTCAACAAACCTTATAGAATGAGAAAGAAATATTGTCCGATCTTGGATCCTTGTCGTCATTCATTCTGAACACCACCTCCTTAATTTCATCCTCCTCAAATGGTCTCTCTAACCAATCGGCATTCTCCTCATTAATAGTAGAAAAAGTCTAGCCTTCCAATTCCAGCCTCGAGTCAAACTGCTCCTGATAAAGAGTTTGAGAGAAACTCACTAGTTAGGTCCCGATATCATGCGGTTCCTCATAAGTAACCCCATCTACCTCCAACATAGTGATAGAATTGTTTCGTCAGTTTGAATTAGCAACCTCGTGAAAAAACTGAGTGCATTCTTCAACCCCAAATTTCTGACGCCAAGCAATCTACTCCATCTTTACCAACCTCTCCAACTTCATCTTAATTCTCCACATCTCTCCCTCTCATCCCCTACCAATCCTCGACTCTCCTCCTTTCTATCCAAGTCTTCTATATCTAAAAGGCATTGATTTTTTACGACAGTTAATATCTCCCCCAACTCCTCATTCCACCTCTTCAAATCCCTTTTCAAAGCTTCAATTTTTGATCCAACACATAATTGGGAGACCCCCTGAAGTCATACGATGCCCACCACGTCCATACTCGCTCCACAAAACTTTCTATTTTTAGCTATATCTTCTCAAACTTAAATGGGGCCTTCTTCCAGTGCACCTCACATTCTCAGATAACGAAATAGGGAAATGATTTGAATACACCCTTCCCAATCTCCTCTGGGTACTTTTCCTCCCACTCTCCACATGCGAGAAACCAATCTATTCAGGACAAGATAGGTTGATCTCGATTAAATGACTAAGTAAAATCTCCTCCAATCATAGGCAGGTATACCAACATGTTCTCCCTGATAAAATCTGAGAAGTCCTCCATGGCCTCCGTTAATCTCCCACCAGTATACCTCTCAATAGAAAATCAAACCATATTAAAATCTCCTCCAATACACGTTGGAAGGTTCCACCAAGCCATCATACCAGCCAGCCTATCCCACAATCCACCTCTACTCTCATCAACATTAGACGCATGAACTTCTATAAACATCCATTGAAATCCATCCCCAATATTTTTAAATGAAAGCACAAGAGAAAATAGCCCTTCACTAACCTCCTCCATATAAAAAACTATAGTGTCCCACATGACTAGCACACCTCCTGAAGCCTCCGATAACCCCAAAAACTGATACCTGACATGTTGTCCCCCCCATAGACTAGTCACAACAGCCCTCAAAACGACCTCCAACTTTGTTTCTTGTAAGCATACAAGGTCAGCCTTTCAACCTCTTATCGGATTTTGAATGCCTAACCTTTCCTCGACTTCATTGAGCCCCTCACATTCCAACTAATTATTATTGGGATCATCTTACCACTCCATTTAAAGCAAATATCAACATATATCAACAAAGGCAAAACAGAAAACTAGTTACATGATGGTTTAGCAAATCTCTAAATGCAGTGTGCTTATATGAATGTTGTTAATTTGTCTTCACATGCAGGTACACAATTGCGATTTTATGTATAAATACAAGACTATAAAGCTTATTAGAGATTAGCACAGTAATCATTTAGTTTTTTTCTTTCATTGGTGCTTGAAATGTCTGGATGCATAAATACAAGATTATAAAGGTTACTGGAGATTGCAATGGCAGCCATTGGAAACTTTCTTTCCTTGACGTGATCCAGATGTACAAGAAACCACTCCGTGATTAAATCAATTATATGAATCTGGTTACGTAACCACGAGAGTAACTTATGGGCCTGTTCACTTACTCAAGAATATGAATGTATACCTTGATATGAAGAGTACCATGTTCTGTCTCTAAGCCAACAATACCCTTAAACAATAAAAGAGAGAATGAAAAGTTAATTCATGAAGAAAAATTCATAATCCACAGGAGTCCAGCATCAAGAAGAAATGAAAGACTACTCTTTTGACGGTTTATTAGGAAAACATCAAAAGGGCAAGAGCGCGGGGAG